TCCATGTTCTGTCTTATCAGCACCCTTTTACCGTTTATCGATAGGTGCCTGTATTCAGTTTCGGTCTTTTTGCAGAACATGATTGCCGTCGAGTTTCGTCACTATGCAAATAAAGATACGACGCACGGAATACGAAAATGCGCTGACCTCATGAAGCGATAAAAACGAAGAGTCCAATAAGGCGGAAAATAACAAAAACTTGCCTTTTAACAGACCTTCGAGTGAATCGAAAGGGAAATCTATTGAAAAATCAACATTTGCTCGCAGGACGAGGGCGACAGAAAGAGACGGCCAAAGTCGGGGGTGGCAGGTGGGAGGTTTAATGGGTGGCAAGTCAAACAAATGCAATGACCTGAATTTCGAGCTTTGTGTGCAAAGCATTGTAAAACCGTGCGATAAGAAGATGGGGGAGGACGCGCGTAAGATATGAACCAAGAATCAAAGAAAAAGACATCTGCAATTCGACAAATAACAATCTTGGAAACCAATTTTTCTCATTAACGAAGATGCCCTTACATATCATTTAAATAAATAATCGCGATTCAATAATAAAAAAATTTGACCTTAAAATACCAGATCAAATGGGACACATTTTAAATGTAAATGTAAAAAAAAAGTATGACAAATAAGAATAGGTCAACATAAATGTTTTTTGTATGAACATCAAATTTTTCAGATACATTTCAAATTTGCAACTCAGTGCGTACATTAGTATATTAAAACAAGATCAGAAAAATATTTTTTGTTATGCTCATGAAATTGTGTGCGTCAATATATAATATTTTTAGTTTAAGATATTTTCTAAACTTGCATATTTATCAAGAACTATATTGGTATATTAGTAGCGGTACAAGGAAACTTTTCACTGAGTAAACTTCAGCTCAAATATCGTGAATACAGTCATGAAAAATTTCGACGACAAGAATTTCCGTTCATATGAATCTTTCATTCACAACACTGCCCTCCGCCCCTCTCACTTAAGCCACCCACTGGGCTTACTCTTATTTTAATGGCATTTGGGCCCACACTACGAGTGTTAAAAAGGTAAACATGTGTTGCCAAAACACGGAGCACGAAGCCCCATCGCAGGCAGAGTAACGGCACAAGGCGCGGCACCTGTTTACCGAAGAGGAAGAGGAAGACGGCCGAAAAACCCTGGCTCTTTGTCGTGACCATGTATGCGTGAGTAGGGGAGGCTGTAGTGTGTCTGTGTGTGTGTGTGTCCTTGTGCCTGGCCCAACAACAACAATAAGGTTGGCACTTCGCAAAAAGGGGATGTGGGAGGGGACCAAAGTCTACACTTGCCTCTTCTCTCGTTCTCTCTCGCTCTCTCCTTCTGACGCCCAGCTCAGCAGCGCTGCATTGGTGTGCGTGCGCGGTTGAGGTCGTATATGTGTGTGTGTGCTGGAATTTACGTGCTTATTGAATTTTCAGCGCAGCGAGTTGCGCAAAAAACAAAGAAAACCCGTCGAGTTTGACGCTTTGAACTACAATTAATTCCAATTTAATTAAAAGCGTATCGCAAGGCTGGAAAATGAGATATTTCTGGGTGTTGTTTTTCGCCGAGCTGCGCCCTTTACATGGATGCAGATACACACTCACACACACAGGCGCGCGTAAGCCGAGAATTTTTCAGTGCGAAAAAATCGACAATCGTTATTTCGTTAGGTTCCCGCAACAGACGAACTCGAAAAATCAAATGGATCGCGCACTCTTGCAGTTAATTGGTTGGTTGGAGTTGCCCGCACATGCTGTCCCCTGATTTTTCTGGCAATTTTCACTGCATTTTCAGCTGCCTCAGTACGTGCAGTCCGTTCGCGTTGACATCGGGGAAAAAACTCAGATACTCCTTGGCGCTACTACAAGATAGCGCTAGAGCTGAGCCAACCAATCACGATAGTATCGACTTATCGAATAAATCGATAGTTCGAAAAAATAATAATTTTACTCTAGGCATTTTGGGGATTAAAATTAATAAGTGCGAAATAGCTAAAATCACAGTAAATTGAAGATAACCGTATTCATAATAAAAACTCATGTAAATTTGCGATCAGTCTTCTAGTGAGGTGCTCGGTCACACCGAAAAATATTACATTCAATTAACAGTGGAGTGGTAACATAGCGGAGACATGATCCTAAGATGCTTTCGTATTATAATCAACAATAATATCGATAAAATTTGTATTTTGAAAAATGCCGGCTAACAGATTTAACACTTTCGATTTTATGATTATTCTAGTTCTTCCTAATGCTAACAAAACGCATTAGCCCAATACGGGAAATACAGTTACAGAGAAGTCGAACACGAACGTTTGTTGCCGGACATTAATTATTACAATGTGGTTGATAGTCTTAGGGTTACAATCCTTTATAAAATAATACTACTTATTGTGAATTATTTCAAAGAGAAGTTTTAGTCAGACAAAATTTACCCGCAAACCCTATAAAAAGAAAAAATTTCGAATTTGTGATACTGCTCTGGCTTTTGCTGGAATTTGGACAAACTGGTCATAATATCTTGATGCGGATGCAAATGTAGTTGTTTGATTGTCCCTTTATGTAGCGTTCTTCGAAAAACAGGTCATGTACTCAAAAAATTATTATATGTACTTCTTTTCCGCTTCTTCCGGGACCGCATTCTAAATTGTCGCTGCTAATTTTTGTGCTCCTTTGCTTAAGGAGTCGTAATGTCGTTAACGGTTTGGAAGGCAGTGCGACTTACAGGGGCGAATTCAAAATAAATAAGAAAACAAATAAATACACAGTGAAACATCTTTCTTACCTCAAAAAATAATGTATATTTAAATTAAATGTATATTATAAATTAATTTAATTTATAATTAAATTTATAATATATAATTTATAAATTAATTTTAATTAGCTTACCTTAATGTATATTAAATTAACTTTTTGTGGGAAATATTTTAGAGTCCTGTAGTTTAAGTTACTATACAATTAAAAATTTTTACTTTTAGCTTAGATCTAAATTATGTCTCTATTTTGCTTGATTTTTTCTTGTTAGTTCTAGTAATAAAGACATGCACTTTTTATACCCGTTACTCGTAGAGTAAAAGGGTATACTAGATTCGTTGAAAAGTATGTAACAGAGAGAAGGAAGCGTTTGCGACCCTATAAAGTATATATATTCTTGATCAGGATCAATAGCGAAGTCGATTGAGTCATGTCCGTCTGTCCGTTCGTCCGTTCGTATGAACGCTGAGATCTCAGGAACTATAACAGATATAAAGTTGAGATTAACCTTGAAGATTCTAGAGGTCCCGGGACAGCGCAAGTTTATTACAGCATCCTGCCACGCCCACTATCACGCCCACAAATCGCAAAAAACGAAAATTGCTGAAATCTCAGGAAATATTGGAGCTAGAAAGTTGAAATTCGGAAAGTATAATCTTCAGATGCCAGCGCATCTTACAGTGGTTTTACTATCCGACCACACCCACCCATACGCCCACAAGGTTCAAAAGCCGGTTTTCGGAAGTTTTAGAAAAGCTGATATCTCGGTAACTATAAGAGATAGAAAGCATGTAGGTTTTAATGATGCTTCCAATGCGAATTGTTTTTTTTCGAACAAGCCACGCCCACCCTAACGCCCACAAAACCCGAAAAACCAAAAATGCAAAAATCTCGAAAACTATAAGAGCTACAAAATTTTGCTTAGGAACATGTATTTAAGAGATGCGCCCACAAACCGCGGAAAACTGTTGCGTCTATAATATTATTATGAATGCCTTCGTTTGACCTTGTATTACTTATTTTTGTTAATATCTATCGATTTACCATAGATTTTTCAAATCGGAACATTATTTCGCTATTTATAAAGAAATTAAGGTTATAAGGCAATGACGTCACTATCAGTTACTCGACATGCTTTCTCCGACAATAGGTGGCGCTTGGGTAATTTCAACTAGCAAAATGAATATTTTAAAATTGTGTAAAACAGTAACGGGTATCTTTTAGTCGCGGCACTCGACTATAGCTATTCCTCTTGTTTAGTTATAGTTTGAGAGGTAAAGACAAAATAAAATTAGAAACTACATGCCTAATCCCAACTTCACTTATCACGTATAGTTCCCGAGATATCAGTCTTTCTACGAATAGCGAAAATCGTCTTTTGAGCCTGGTACCACCATAAGCTGCGCTGGCATCTCAAAATGAGACATACGAGGTGTGTTCAAAAAGTAAGGTGACTCTTCAAATTTCGCGAATTTCAAATTTTTCGATTATCGAAACCTTTTAGAAGTTATACGAGGTGTGTTCAAAAAGTAAGGTGACTTTTCAAATTTCAAATTTTTCAAATTTTTCGATTATCTTCAGTTTTGGGAACAAGAAAAAGTCACATGGGGCCAAATCCGGTGAATATGGTGGCTGAGGCATTATTGTGGTGTTGTTTTTGGCCAAAAAATCGAAATCCTTTGATCCATATTTTTCGATAGCAAAAAATCGCCGAGCTCGCAAAATAACTTGTAACTTTACGCCTCTCACAACCAAACAAAAGAGGATGTTCCATTGAAACTTGGTACAGATGTTAGGGAAGAGTGTACCAATATAACAAAACAAAAAAATCGATAATCGAAAAATTTGAAATTCGCGAAATTTGAAGAGTCACCTTACTTTTTGAACACACCTCGTACTTAATCCCAACTTTCTAGTTCCTGAGATTTCAGCGGTTTTAGTTTTTCCTGATTTATGGGCGTTAGAGTAGGCGCTGCGTAGGGACCTCAAGAATAAGCCTGCTTAGTCTCAACTGTGCATCTATTATAGTTTCTGAGATCTCAACGTTCATACGGACAGTCCGACATGGCTTAACCGACTTCGCTATTCATACTAATCAAAAATATATATAATTTTTAGGGTCGGAAACGTTTTCTTTTACCTGTTCCATTCTATTCATTGAATCGAATATACATATATATGTATATGTTAATATTCCGCCGAATATGTTTATCTCTATGATGTTGTACCAAATTAAAAGTGGATTTTCATCCCAAAAGCATTATTTATTGGTTCTTATTGAAATTTTTAACAATGTAAACAATGGACTGCCATCGTGATTAATCGAAAAAAAATGTATAAATATAGATTCCATGGAAAACTCATCAATCATGCAAATCTCAAGAAACTTCACTTCTTTGCCTTGGCTTTGGGCTTTGAGGTTGTGGAAGAAGCACCCTTTTTGGATCCACCAGCTGCCTTGGACGTACTTGGCTTCTTTTTGGCTTTGATCAAGCCATCTAGTTCGAGGTTATCTTTGTCTTCATCCTCATCTGAAGAGACTTGACCACCAGCTCCATCCTCTTCCCCTTGATCCGCGCCGTAGTAATCCTCATCACCACCACCAGCCTCTGCTTTCTTCTTCTTAATGCCCGCTTGAGCGGAATAGGAATATGCCATAACCTCCTTGTTATAGGATCGTGTGAGGGCTGCCTTTACTCTCCCGTCCACTGCATCAAAGGGCGATTTCTTGCCCGGCCATGAGGTGAGCTCGACCAGCGAGTCCAGATCCTCGCGAAGTAGGTGGTATTCTTTCATAGCATCAAGAGCGCCGGACACGCCCTCCTGTCCATCCTTCACCAGAGGCCGCACAATATTATTAAGAAGGAAGGGGGCGTAATCTAGTCTCATGGATAATCTAGAGCCCGAGGTGCAGGCCCTTGTGTGATCGTGAAGCTCTTGGGCAAGTCTAGCCCGTTTTCCAGACTTCGAATTTTTGCCCAGCCACCCGGGGAAGTTGATCTGTCCAGTAAAGTGTCCGCACATGTTTTCGCCCGGTAGCACCGAGCTGAAAAAGGCCTGAGTGGGCAGTAGACTCCAGGCAGAGTTAGCTCGGATGCGCTTTTCGACGAGGTCACCCAAGCTGAGGGCATCTGCTGTAGCCGCTACCTTGGCCAAAACATCTTTCCTGCAAAAAGCGGTGAGTGTAAATATATGTATGGATGCGACATAGTCCCACTAACAAAACTTACTTATTTCCTTGTGGTGAGACCTGGAGGTAGTTTTGCTGCACAAAGAGCGGGGCCAGGCTGTAGTCGTGGAAGAAAAGGTCGCTCTTGTCGGCGAATGACATGTGCTTGTGCTCGTCGGCTGTAAAGACTTTCCGCACCACTTCCCATGGTCCAAGTTTCAGATCCTTGGTGGCTACCTTTTGCTCTGATTTAAGGTCTTCATTGGCGCTAAGCAGGGCAATATGGTTAATGGATTGCCGAATATCGTTGTTGGTGGCCGCAATGATTTCTTCTAATTTCGCAGGTGAAATCTTAACCTTTTCCTTGAAGCAGATGCTCATAATTTTTCCCTTGATCTGCTCAAGACGAGGCCGCTGGAATCGCAAATCGTAGCAGTAGTTGACCAAGGACCGAATCTTAGGATGGTTTCGATCATTACACATGCAAATAATCGGAATAGAGCTGTCCTTGATTAAAGCGATCAGTTCCTGCATTCCTCCTCTGTCCTCGTTTCCGGCCATGCCATCAACCTCGTCCATGATAAGCACGTGCTTTCGGGATACCGCCTGCCCTTGACCGGTGAAGTACCCAGAGAGAGATTTGTTGCTCAGAAGCGTGGAAACTTCGTCTTTCAGTAGGCGTTTGCTTCGTGTATCGGAGGCGTTGAACTCTACTGCATCGAAGCCCAGCTCCTTCACCACCAGAGTTGCTGTCGTGGTCTTTCCGATTCCCGGCGGTCCCGATAGCAGGGCCGCCTTGTAAAAGCTGCCATCGTCGTTCTTAGCCCAAGGATTTGGTCGCTGAGGCTTCTTATCGCCGTCGTGATTTACATACCACTTGGATAACCAGTTCATCAGCCTGGGGAAATTGGATTAGATAAATAAAAACCTTAAAACAAGGAAGTTTGAGAAAGCCTTCACATATAAAGTAAAATAATAAAATACTAGCCAATCAAATCAATAGTATAAACCCAACAAAGAATAACATACCGATGTACAAAAGATCATGTTCTTTCGTATAAATTTTAATTACTTACTTGGTAACGTTGCTAGCGGGTCCTGCCTGGCCAACGATTTCCTTAATGTTCGTGGGCTTATGCTTGTCCACCCAGGCCATTCCGACCAGATCCTGAGTCTTTGGTTTGGCGGTCCTTGCCACCGGAGCTTTGTGTTCTTCGGAGCTGGGCTCTTTTTTTACTTTCACAGTTATATCTGCTACATGATCCTGCTTTTCTTTTTTTACCTTGGGGGATGTGTGTTCCTCCTTGACTTTATTTTTGGAGGTATGCTTCTCGCCACTTTTATGTTTAGTGTCTTCCTTCTCCTCCTTAATTTTAGACTTACTGGGAGCCTTAGCCTCCTTCTTCTCCTTGTCACTGGAGCTATGCTCCTCCTTAGGGCTCTTTTTTTCTTCCTTTACCTGCTTACCTTGCCCGGATTTTTCCCTAATTAGATCAAAGAGGCCATCTTCGCTAAGAATGGGTATATTAAGTTCTTCGGCCACTGCCAATTTCTTTGGTCCCGCCTCTTCACCGACGACAAGGTACTTCAGTTTTTTCCCCACCACGGTCATTACCCTTCCTCCGTACTCCTTGATAACCGCCTCTGCCTCCTCGCGCTCCATTGATTCCAGAACTCCGGTGACAACGAATGTAAGTCCACTTAGGCAATTTGGCGAGCCCTTGGGTATTTCTTTACTGCCGGGATTCAAGCACGCACTGCGGTTCTTGTACTTTTGGTAGAGCACGGCGGTCATGCGTTTCCGCTCGTGCCGTTCCTCGTCTGTTAGGACGCTGGACTCTAAATCTGCAGGTGGCTTCTCCTTCTTCGCACGAGGAGTTGGGGCTTTAGCTTTGGTCGCTTTGGGTTTGGCCGGCTCTGGGCTGCTTTTTTTGGATCTTTTGGGGGAGGGAGAGCTCCTGCGAGGTGAAGGAACCTTCTTCACCGGTGCATCTTCCTTGAGACTCTCGTCTAGGTCGACTTCCATTAAACTTCTGTCTATATCCTCGTTCTCGAACTCGCGAACTGCTTTGGACTTCGGTTTGGCCACAACGACCCGTTTAGTTTCTCCACCGAAAAGTTCAGAAGGATCCACGTGCCTTTTGAGCTTGGACAGTGAAGGTTTCTGCCCATTCCTGGCTTTTTTGGGTTCCGGTGTGGCAGACACCACTTCATCCTCGCTAGATGCCTTTGAGGGTTTGCGTTTCTTGGTCTCCGGGGGAGTGGCGACCACCTCGTCTTCATCGCTGGATATTACCAATGCCTTTCTGCGTTTTGGCGCCTTTGTTGGCGTCTCTCCATTTACGTCCTCCGCCTTCTTCGGCTTCGCAGGCAACGGCTTGAAGTAAGTGTTAATGCCCTAGAATGATTAATTAAAGCACATTAATGTAATTTCTAAGCTCACGGCAGACTGTCAACCACATACGCGTTGCATTCCGGCAGATATTGTTTATTTTTGAAGCTAAGTTGCGAATTTCAGACTGATGTGAACAGTGTTACCAAGTAGAGCAGCGGTGTTATCACCGAAATTTGCGCACTTCAATGTCTAAAAATCACTGGGAAGATAGTCAATCGATAAGAGTAACCAATCTATGGTCACACTGAATACCAAATAAGAATGTAGAATTACTTATGCAGCGTGGGGCCAAATATAAATTCAGTGCGAATGACAATAAATTTTTCAGTTAAAGTATTTAAAACAAGACTATCGCTTTGCTTTTTGAAACCACTTTTATTTATTTTAATTAAATCATTACACAAAAAAAAGCTGAAAAAGTTGTTTAATTTACTGAGTTGTATTTTACAATCCCCCATCAAAAGTTTCTACAGGGCTCTCCTAATTGGGTTTTTTATTACTTATAAATAATTATTTCAAGTGCTGTTTTAGTTTCATTCTTGTACCATGTCGAGAATGAATTTCTTTATTCGCTATGGAGTAATCCTTTTGGTGAAATCGGACTCCTCTAAATTCGAATTCCTAATGGCGAACAGGATCGTATAGTCCACCTAATCTAGCACCGTTTATTTTTAAAAATTAAAAAAAAAGAAATGTTTGGCTGATAATGCTTTTCCATATTGAGGACAACCAGCGGTCTTATGTAAGAGTTTTTGCATGAAAAATTTTAAATATTTAAAGTTCATCGCATTCTCTTATTATTCGTTATATTCTGTATTAAAGAACAATTTATTTATTTATTAAACAAATTAATTCTTTAATACAATACTAAATCTAATGGATTACTTAAAGAATACTAGCTACTAGGGCCTACGACTCGAGATTAAATGATTAAATTAAAAATACTTAAATATTTAGGATGGTTCTAACAAATATAACAATATTTCATTTTTATTTTTCGATAACCGCCGCAGTCTCAACCAGCAAGTGCACCGTATTTAGCTTAGCGAGTACACCTACCAATATTATGTTATACTAGAGTCTGCTTTGCACTGCTTTCTACCTATACGAAAGAACAGCGTAAAGGCTTCTCGCTACTGCATAAAGCAGTGTTTAAATTCCATTAAATCTTTGGATTTAGCCAATTGGTGCACTTCATTATTTGATCTTTCATTGGGATTTTATTGGTATTTCTTTGACCGGATTATGACCAAGTGGTCAACTTTTATTTTCATATTTGCATAATCACCATTTAAATTTGTTTCACCTTAAATCAACAATAATATTAAAGTATTTTTATTAAATGTCATCAAATTTCTATCATTTTCGACCATAAATGTTCTTGACATCTTACGATTAATAGCAAAGTCAGATCTCTTGAAGTATAAGACATAAAAGTTGGGATGAAGCAAGCGGAACACGCAAGGTTAATTTCGCACCCATTCGAACGCTGACAAAAGGCGAACAACTAAACAAGCTGATTTGCCAGCAACTATAGAAGCTAGATATTTTGAATCTTGGATTCATCCGGACACCCCCACTGTTACGCCCACAAAGACATTTTGGGATGAACACTGAGTAAGCACGCCGATCCTAGGGACGCCTGTGCAGCATACAGAACATAGTCGTATATAATATTAATATAAAAGTACTCGTAATACTCGACTACCGTAAATTCTCTTCGAAATTAAATTAAACTATCTTAGCATAGAAAAGGAATAGTAAATTTCAAAAATATAATAAAAATAATTTAATAATATTATTGATTTAAAGTGAAACAAATTTAAATGGTAATTATATAATTATGAAAATAAAAGTTTATAATATCCCAAGTTATCCCAAGTGGTAAACCATTCACCAAGTATAAATAATTGATTTTTATTTCCCAATTAATTATTTTCTTCTTTATCTTTCTGGATTAATTTCTATCAATAAACATGATAATAATGATAACGTGTTTATTATTTATTTTATTAAAATTGCCTCAGAAGCAACCTTACGAGTATAATTCGAATTTTTATCAACAGTTTAATTATTAATTTGTTTTCTTCGGAATGTAGAATTTGTATAAAGCAGAAGTTGTAAAAATTAAAAAATATGTGCCAATATTTTAACCTCTGCTGTAAAAATACGACATTCGTTCACTCCTTGGCGCACTCTTAACTACATATGAGAAAATCAGTTTGGAGAACTATTTGTTGCTGCATTCTTATGCATTATATCTTATTGCTAGATTCTTGTATTCAAGTATGGAGAAATGTTTCTCGTTTGGAGAAATTGACATCAAATTTGCATATCACTCGCTTCATTTGAAAAAGGAATGAAAGTTTTAGTTTTAAATTACCAATGTTCCTTCCATTGCCGATACATTGTATCTTAGAAAAGCAAAAAGAACTATTTCTATTTACTCATAAGAAAACTTTAGTAGGGAAAGATTGCAAGTTATTGTTTATAGTTTTTACTTTGTTTTATTTGAAATTAAGAATAAAGAATAGAAGGCTGTGTTGCTAGTAAATAAAACATTATTATTAAAAAATAAAATTAGTTTACGGATGCCAATGTTGGGTGCAACAACAATAAAGAAGAAAAAGGATATTTGTACATCAAACGTTCTGAGAAAAAGATATATATATATATATAGGCGGAAAACTAAAATTAAAGAAAAGGAATTCGAAAATTTGGGATACGACTATAATAAGAAACACGGCTGAAAGCTTCTGGGGATAAGGGGATATGTACCTCTGTTTTTAGAGTAGTTGCATTTAGTGGGTACTATCGCGAATTGGAGGTTAAGAATGGTTTTCTTAGTAACTCTAACCCCTAATTAATGTGAAAAGTCAATCGAGAGAGATGCCAAAGCCAAATCGCCTCAACAAATTGATTTTCACAATAAAAGTCGAGGCAAAATGCAACTAATCTGCTTACATGGCTTTTGATTTTACATGTTATTTGACATATGCTCCATCAATCTTCCGCTAATGCAACGCAATCTAATCAAATCCAATCGGAATCACATCATCAACGCCACTTTACATCGCCCCGGAGCCAACTCCCCCGGCACTCTTTGTCCGAGATCGTCGCACAAGCTGTTTAGTTGCATTTACAGGGCATTAGGCCGCTTTCCCTTGGCTTTTCCATTTTCCCTCGGCGGCTGTCAACCCCCTTGGCCAACTGATTACACGCGCAATTAAGGGTTGCGGCTAAACCACCTCCCACCCAGTAACCTTGCTCGCGGCGGTTGCACGTGCTAAGCGCCATCAAATGTCACCCTTGGGGCCTAAGTGAAAAATCATTGCTTAACACTGATTTTGATTAAATTTCACATAAACAAACAAGTGGATGAAAAAAAAGGGAGGGGTGCGGGAGAGTAGTAACTAACCTTAATTACTTATTTTATTTGAAAATGTTAAATATTTTTATTAATCTGTTTAATGCCAAAGTGGCATAAAGATCTGCAGTTCGTGCAACAAGTGCTAAGACAGGATGAAACAGAGGAAAAGGGTTTCACTTTCCCCACCCAACTGACATCTTGAGCGATGCGAGACCACATGGAAAAGTTCCCACACATTGGGACCAAGGGGAATAGGGCTTTGAATATAAATTGACTTCGGGTGGATTTGACTTGGCAGGACCTTAAATTATGCGTCGAAAGTCGCAAGTAAATAAATACAAATCGGGGCTGGCAGAGAGCCACCCCCTTTCACGCGGATTTATTACATTTGCATCTGATTTCCCGATTATGTGACATTTTTTGGCGAGAGTGTTTAAGCCTTGATGGGGGTGATTGGCAGTAGGGGTGACACTCTTTATTTTGCCGGCCACTAATTTGAGAATGGCGTGTGATGGCCGGCACTTGTTCTCCGCTCTGCCTCCCCCTGCTGCCTCATTTATTGATCATTAGCACTGGCTAAGGCCCCCGCCCACGCCTCTGACCCCCGCTTAATCATGATTAATTATTTTGACGCATTATTTTGATTCGGTATTTATCAAAATGTCGCAAAATAGCGCTTAGCCTTTTATTATGTTTGCTTAGCTGATTAATCTTTTGGCGGAGTGTTGTCCCCCCTCTCTCCCCTTTTGCTCACCAAGTGGGTGGGAGAATTAACCTTTTGGTTTTGTTTCTTATGTAAATCAGGCTGAGGCTTAACCAATGAAAAATGTCCATTTCCTTTGCTTGAGAGTGGCTAACAGCAGAAAGAAGCTTTAAGAGAAAGTAAACTTCACACAAATAAATTTGAAAACGCATTTTCAAAAGCTGAACCTTCGAACCCCCTCGACAATTACCATTAATTTGCTCCCGAACACAGGAACCCTAAAAGGTTAATTACTAGCCATGCCGATGGTGGAAACCCATCTTCATCCCAGCAGAATCGAACCGAACCCAATCCGAATCGAGGAGAACCCCACACGGAGTGCGATCGGCGAGGAACAAGTTTCCCATGGGCAGAAATTAATAAAATTTGCAATTTACAATTTGGAAGCGACTTATATATCAGTGGGAAAACACGGCGCAATGTGCGCGGAGAAAACATGTTCGACAGTTAATAAAACAAATAATTGCATCGTGTGTGCAATAAAAAGAAGGTTAAACGTGGCCATAGAAACCGCCGAACGACTGCAGAGTAGACAGAGAGGGCTTTATGCTGGCAGAGCGGGAGGGGGAGTGGGAGAGGGCCAGCAACTAATCATCAGCAGCAGGAGCAGACGTCGCGCCAATTGGAATTGCAAATCTTCCAGGAGTGGGAGCGAGAAAGACACACCTATCTATGGGGAAGAGAAGAAGGAATATGGACATGGAGGCGCTTCCATAAGGATTCTTAGGATCAGTAGCGGTTTTAGTGGGTTTGTTGGCCCTTGAAGTGAATTCTAAATTTACAAATTATGTTATTCCTCTAACATAGTCATTCTAGTATGTATTTAAAGTTATAAAATATAAAAGAAAATCTCATAAATTAATAAACTTACTAATGTTGTATCTCCAAAATGACGTAATATAACCAGAAAATATAAAACCATTAATTATTATCAAAAACTTCATGTTCTGCCTCACACATCCAGCGACTGAATCCCTCTCAGCGCTCCTGTGCACACATGTTGGCCTCGTCTAAGACAAAATGGTGGAG